CCTGTTTTCATTTATGATTACTGACATTTGAATAATTACTCAGTTAAGCTCTCAATCGCAGAATCACTTTTTATTGAATACAGATGGCTTCTTCACTAGTCACATCACTATGTTTTTTTCTGTATAGCACTTAAAATTTAAAACTAAATTTTGCTCTTTTTGGTCTGGAGAGTTTAGTAGCAAAAGTCTTTTTTTTTTTTTTTTTTTGGTGAGGGGTAGGGAGCAGTTTGTGCTGAGCTATATCAACAGAGGTTCTGCAGCATTGACAGAATATGTGAGTGACATGCAGCTGCATGTTTATCAGAACTGGAAAGCCCAGGCTAGCTGCTCATGTCAGTCATCCCCTAGCAGTCTTCTGGCAAGCACTGCTACTCCAGGTTTGGTATTCTCTATGGACTGTGGTACTGTTGTGGTTTAAACCCTGTCTGGCAGCAAAACACCACACAGCTGCTCACTCAACCTCCCCACCTCCCAGGGGTGGAGAAGAGAATTGAAGGGGTAAAGGGAAAAGAGGCTTGTGGGTTAAGATAAGAATAATTTAATAACTAAACTACACCAAAACTGAAAATAATAATGATCATAGTAATGTATACAAATATACAACTGAACACAGTGAAACTACTCACCACCCAATAACCGAGGCTCAGCCTGTTCCCAGCTAACGATCCCAAAGCAGAGTCCTGAAACCGCAATCCCAGAAGAGAGATTAGAGCTCAAGCATCTGAGAGACTGAGAGCTGACCAAAAGCGAGATGATCCCAAGAGAGGGGCGGCCCAGGGAGAGAGCAAATTTACAGGCAGATTCTCATCTATACACTGGGCATGATGTGCATGATATGGAATATACCATTGTCCAACTTGGGTCTCAATCCTAAAGCTAAGGTCAAATCCTAGGCTAGGAATTGGGGCTGTGCTTTCCCCAGCTTCTCCCGCACCTGCAGTCACTGGCACAGCAGACAAGCTGGAGAGTCCTTGACTGTCCTGGCAGCCTTCTTCTCAGCACATAGTCCAAAATGTAGCCTCTTACTAGCTACTGTGAAGAAAGTTAACTTTGACCCAGCCAAAACCTGGGCAGTTACCCATGCTATTAATGACAAAATAGTTCAACTTGTACACCAAAACAAAAATATTTCTCTTTAAAGAGACAGCTGACATGAGTCATGCTGTAAACAGGACTTGATTGAAGAATACTACTAACAGAAATTAAATAGGTTACTTCAAAAAAAAAATTAAACCATGAAAATGAACATTTTGAGCTGCTATGACCAGGATTGTCTTCAGCCAATTTTGTTTCCTCATCCTGTAACTCTAGTGGCTCTGGCATGTATTTTGTCTGCAAAAAGAAGACAAAGTGGTTTATCTTATTTTAGTGTGGGCACCTTGCGTTAGCTTAATTATGGTAGTTCCAAGAACTGTTTGTTGGTTTGTTTTGTTTTTTTTTTTTTTCCCTAATGTCTGAAAAGGAAGAAACAAGTTTGGAGAAAGTATTTCCTGACTGTGTGTAAGGCCGAGTATGTATCCATCAGAGTGGGATAACCAACAAGAGGCTTCAGGTCCCTTTCCTCCTTCCCATCCCTTATTATGAGACCCCAGTTGCGGGCATGTGCTAATGCTGTTCAGGTTATGTGATATGGGAAACACCATCATTCAAATCATGTTTTCAGTTAGCTTTCCCTTATACCGCGTAAACACAGAAAGCCCTGAGAGCAATTAATAAACTTACAGACTTCTAAAAAAAATATCCTGCTCAGTTCATATGCATCACAGAAGTTAGAAAAATATATTGCAGAAGTACTGTCTCTGTACCCAAGCTCATCGTCTTCCCCCTTCAATAGCATAATGGCTGTTGACTCACATTTTTGTTTAGAGGTAGGCTGATGTTATGACGCATGCTTTATTTAAAAACCACTATAATATATTATTTTCTGGTCTGAGCATCTTTTATGCAAAAAAAGATGTGGCTATTTTGCTGTTGTGATTCTTTTACTTTAGAAGGAAAATATAGCTTTTTCTTTTTTTTCCTAAGAATTGCACTAACCTGCATTTAATTAGTGTCACGTGATTTGGATGAGTTGCCCACAAATGTAAGAAAGATTGGAGATGTCTCCTTTGGTAGTTGCCTTGTTGCCACCTGTGATCAAGCAAATTGCTGTATATTGATTCAGTTTCAGATGACCTGGAAAACGAATTCTGGAAAAAGCACAGATATCGCCTGTATCCCAGACTTCTGCAGATGAGGATAAAAATTGCCCTTTACCTCTCAGACATATCCAAAAACATATCCAGCAAGAGCTTAGTGTTACGTACTATTACAGTAACATTGATGGGATGCAGGGCCAGACAAGTACAGCTGCTGTCTACACTGCAGAATAATGTCTTTGATTAGACTCTTGAAAGTTTAGCCAATAAAGGCATAAAAATGTTAACAATTGATATTTATTACATTGTAGTTTATACAGTGAGGTTCACATCAGATTAAAACATTAACTATTAGACCAATTCCTGCAAACCAAATTGCAAGTGTTTATGATGTCCATTATGTGAAAGACTTCTACAAAAAACCTCTAGTCCACTGTCAACCAGCATAAAATTCTACAAATTCTCAGGAAATTATTGTTTGTTTTTTTTTTTTTTTTTTTGCTGAGGTCAAAGCTGCTCACAGCTGCCACTTCCAAAACCAGGTCTTTAGACAGGCTGCGCTATAAATCTAATGGAACAGTTTTGCTACAGTGATGTAATTTTCCATAACTTTATTGAACTGAAACATGACCTGGTCAGGAATAAAGCGAGCGGTCAAATAGTTCATAATTATTGTACATTTGTTTACTTCAGTAAACACATGTGGCCTTCTTATATATTGTAGTTTGAGATATTATACTCCTTCCAGAACTGAATGCATGGGCTGAAGTTTTAATAGTCAACCTGGAATTTAACAGGCAAGGGCCTAAATGCTTAGAAAGTAACTAGGAGCTGTATTCAGCTAAACTCCAGCTAAGCCTCTAAATATAGTCAGTGGAGCACTTTCAAGTACAGCTTGGGATTCTTTGCAAAAGTGTCTGAAGCATATCTGCTCTCGGCAATGCTACCCCTTCAGCAAACCGGAGTGTGTTTGGTATGTTTCAGGACGCCGTCCCAATCCCAGTGGGTCAGTTTTGCCTGGCTAGCTCAGTCGGTAGAGCATGGGACTCTTAATCCCAGGGTTGTAGATTCATGCCCCATGTTGGGCGCCACTTGCCGATCTCCGGCCAAAGTATGCAAGCTCCCAATTTATTATGAAGGATTACATCATCTCAGTTTTGTTTTTACATTCTATTGACCTTCAGGTTTTGTCTGTTTTCCATTACATGGTGTTTTGAACCTGCTGCTTCTCACGCTTGCAGTAGGGCTTTCTGCAGTGCTGCCTCACTTGTGCACAATCGTTCTCTAACCTGAAGGTCAGTTTACGTTTTTGTTAACCACCAGTTCTTTATTCCCACACACGTCCATGAAAATTTACTTCAATAGTACATTATCAATTCTTTTAGTACAATGATCTAAATTCATATGAACAATACTAAATGCTATTCTGTACAGAATGAGTTCATTAAGGAATTTTGTATTAATTTATGTTTTTTTCATATATAAAATACACACACAACCTGGGTGAATTTACAAGAATGACTATCTTTCATTAATGTATGACTCAACATTTTTTTAGAACATCATAAAGATTCTTGATCATGCATATAGTTGCATGTGTACTTTGATTGGAATACACAAACATTTATTTCAGTCTGGCTACTTACCTGCTGAAAGATAAGCATGAAAAAATAAAAAATTCCATCTGCTCTTTCACACTCACATAAAGAAACATACAGCCATCCCTTCAGATCAGTATGTGGTCTGCCACCCTTCTCAAAACATTAGCAAGTTTTGTCAGGCTAGCATAGGCTAATATTTTAGATTACTCTGCTTCCAGTAGGAATTTTCAGTTCAGGATACATGTGAGCCAAATTGCATTACCTGCCGGGTAGAAGTGACTGCACAAACTGGAGAGAAGGAAAGAGAGAGGGAAATGAGAATTTTACCAAATTTAAAACCAAGAAGTATCACAAGTCTCAAGAAAAGTGACAGTTCCTGTCCCCATCATGTTTTGCATAATAATTCAGATAAATAACATACATTGAAAGCTGTGGTCCAAATTGGATCCTTGATTTGAATGCATTTTGTTGAAGTTTTTCATCTGTAGCTGAAGTCAGATTTCAATTAGTCCAAGGTATGAAAGCAAATTAGATAGATACCCTTCAGGAGATTTATGATAAATATATCAGAAGTGCCTCAAGACGAGAATCGTGTGTTCCAGAATACCATGGGCAGGCACAGTCTTAAGTGCCACTGACTTACGGAGAGAGCTGGAAGGAGCAGTGGTCTGCCCCTAACTACCTGTAAACTGAGGAGGCCAGTATCCCTCCCCACGTTAAGAAATGGGCTCCTCCATCTGAAGATCCTCTGAAACATTCTCCAGCCTAGAGAATCTTGTCTCACCCACTGGCATAAGAGGAAGCTTAGGGAATCTTTGCAAATACCCTCTTTAGCTTGCTAAAGGCTTAAGGCAAGGAGAATAGCAGATTTACCTGTGTGGTTTGGGGCTCGGTTTGCAGATACTCTTAGTGAGAGCGCATACATAAGCAGCCTGGTGAATCTAAATCTCTTGTTTCTATGTCATTAAGTGCAATTGAAAACTACTTTTAAAGAAAAAATTATAGTTGGCAAGACACTCTACAACACTTAAGGAAAGGTGGTAGTATTTCTATGACACATGTTCAAGAAAGCATTGTAGGCAATGTTGCAAAATTGATTGTACATTGTATTGCCAAGGACTTTATTTAAAAAAAAAATGAGTGTATCAAGTGGGTTTGTTCCCAAAACTTCTACCAATGTTCTGTTTTCAACTCAACCTATAGAGAAAAACAAGAGAGTAACAGTTTTTACAGATGAGACCTGCATTAATTGTTTTTTCAGGACTACAAGTAGAGGGCCTCTTCAGAAGGTCAGCCAGCATCCAGACTATCAAAGATGTCCAGAAACTCTGTAATCAGGGTAAGCTGTTGTCATACCATTGCTGGCTTTGTTGATCTTGATCTTGCTGGTGAAGCAGAAATGCTAGCTTTCTTATCATTAGTTAATCATAAAACCATTTGTAACATAAAATATAATCATAAGACCACTAGTACAGAAACTTAAAAGACAGCAACCGGCACTTAATGTTTACTGAATAGCAAGTCATCAGCTGATGTCAAACCCAAGCTTACCAAATCTGTAGCAGCTAAGGAATGGTAAGGTTTGAGTCAAAAATTGTAGTTTTTTTCATAAACATTTGTATTGCCTCTACGCACTTTGAGTTCCTATGGTTATGAAGTACAATGTCTTTGTGTCATTTTGCCTCTGATGTTTTCCAATGGTTATGGCAAAGCAATACAATTTTGCCTAATAATTTATGAAATGTAGTGAAGTAATTTTGAAAGTCACTGGCTTCCCCATGAAGCCATTTTATGAAATGCCTTTATGGGGAGAATCTCTCATAGCAAGACTAATAAAACTCTATGAAAAATACAAAAAGAAAATGCCAGGAGTTACCAGCAACAGATTGCCAAGAGGTTTTCTGTTCAAAATGTAATGTGACACAGTTTTTAAGCAGTAGTTTAAAGAAACAGTAAAACATATGAATGAACATCTTTTTTTCTTTTTTTTCTCCTTTTAGGCAAGTCTGTGAATTTCGATGATTATAATGATATCCATATTCCTGCAAAGACTTTCCTTAGGGAACTCTCTCAGCCATTACTAACGTTTGAGTGTTATGATCATATCCTTGGAATCACCAGTGAGTATAAATAAGTTCTTGAAAAATTTATGCAGCAAGTTGAACTGGACCTGGCTAATTCATAATCACTGCTGTTTGCAAACCATGACACATTTGTGAGTATAGAATGTTATTAGTGCTTCACTGCAGCCACAAATGGACAACCTCATAATCTGTACCAGAGCAAGGTGATCAGGGTTACCAAGACTGTCTGCTTTTTACAAGGTTTACTGGTTTATCTATATATCATACTGTATTATTAAAAATTGGATCGGACTTCTCACTGTTAGGGCTCCATTTTTGTGTCATGGCACAGCACTGAACCAGCCTCAGTAATACAAGTTATGTCAAAGCAGCTTTAGTTTTAGCATCAGCATTGGCAGAACTGTGGGAACAAAATCTAGTTGGTCATTTGTAAGCTTCTTTCCTTTTTTTTTTTCCTTTTTTTTGTGGGGAGGGATTTGTTTTTATTGGAACTGTTCCCATGGGACAACATATTGGGAAAGAAAGGATCGAAAGCCATGAGAAGAGAAAACATTGATTATCTAAAGATCTGGCACCACATGAAACTGTGAATTATAAAACTTTAATTACATGCCTTTGTCAGGGACTAGAAGTTTACAATGTTGGCAAGGCAATTCCCTAATAGATGTGGGTTGGATATCTGAGACCCCAGAATATCTGAGATTTAATACCCTGTACTTGCAGTGACTGGTGTTTTGCCATCCAGGCTATAGTCAATCCAGCAAAGAACCAGTAGAGCTTCCAGTAACAAGCCACAAGCATTTTTCCAAAACCCGCTTTTTGAGGAGATTATATGTATTATAATGGAGCGTGACTTCCAACAGAGTCTGTTTAGCATACCTCTGGTAACCATGGGCTGATGTTGTTGCAAAGCGTAGGTTACCATCACTGTCATGACTGTTGCTGTTGGGGTAGATCACTAAAATAATGGACTTTGAGGATAAATCTCAGTGGTGACATGTTTGTAAAGTGTAGAAGTAGGGCAAGTTTACTCTACCTAGATATACTGTATTCTAGGTAAAATTCTTATACTGTGCCCATCAGTAGCATCTGCCCATACTGTTTCTGTCATTAACTTTATTTATATATGTCCATTAAAAAACTTAAACAGGTCATGTTCAGAATCCTGTGAAGTTCCGTACTGTTCTGCTATTTGCAAGTCTGTAGATCACCACCTTCCAAATCAAGGATTCATCTGTCCACACACTAAATATCTTAGGGCATTGAGAGAAAACAGGTCTATTAACAGGAAGGTGATAGAAATGAAGGGACTAAGTCATTTAGAACTGGAAAGAAGGGAAATTTGGAAAAATAATGTATAGATGCTGGTTTTTTACTGAATTAATCTTGTGCTGACCTTCTAGAAACGGTATTACTTTGTGATACAGATAAGTGAAAAATGAGAACAAGTCTGAAAAGAATCTGAGAGCAGTGCATTGTCTGAGGAACACTGGGAGGTTTTGATTGGCAAAACACCCATAAAACATTCATTTCCATGTTATTTTTGTTTACTGGCATTTTAAATGTGGACAAAATCTGCTGAAAAGAGGAGTTGACGGGAATTTTTCCTTGGGTTTTCATCTTGTGCAATGTGATGTCCACTATCTGTTCTTGACGCTGTGCTGATATCCTGATTTTAAAAGATCTTAAGCTTGAGAGCAAAGCTGGACTGCAGAAAAGGCATATTCTTTGTGAATAAAGTGCAGAAGGGAGCTTTGAAGAGGTGTGATTGCAGATAGCTGTCTTGGGATGATTTGAAAATTCTCATTCTGTCTTCTGGAAGACACCAGAGCAGTGTGTGATGTATCTATTATATCTCTTAACCTGCAAACCCAGAAGTACCATATCTGTGCCTTATAGTACTTTGAAATGAAATGTGAAACTTTTCTCTTTCATGTCTCCTCTGAACCATTTTTTAAAGAGTTATTGATGGGAGCTGTGAAATAAATTAGCTGAGTGGCTGACTAAAAAAATTAGTAAAATCTTGAAGCTTATAATTGTCAAATAACTATTTCTTTGATCGTGAAAACTAACAAGAGTTCCTTTACCCAGTATTGCTACACTTCCTACATTATTTACTCTACAGAAGGCTGACAAAAATTATTAGGACTCAGATTATTGTGTTTTACAGGAATTAGTAGCTTTACAGTAGGAAAAATGTCAACACATCTCACCACAGTATAGCTTCATATGTTTAATTCAGAGCCTAAGGGAACATTTAACATGCTGGAATTTTGTGCATGCACACAGACTTATGTGCCCTTCTAGCTGTGTCAAGGAGAGGGAGAGAGAAACGCAATAAATGCAGAAAAAACATCAGCACAAATGGGCTGGTTAGGACAGACATGATTGTAATTATCAGACCTTTCTCCAAATTGGTGTTAAACTTATAGTACTAAAATAATGGCAATATTCTAAGAAAAAAAAAAGACACTTGGTACAGCATTTGAAATATAATCCAGTGTTAGTGTAATTCTCACCTAGACTGTCTAGATGATGCAAGGAGTTTGGGGTCCAGTTCTGGTTTTGCCTGTCTGTAGAAATGAGTTAATGAACCTGCTTAGGTTCATCTCTAGAAAATTCTTACCCACGAAAGTGGCCATCTCCCAAATGTTTGCCAAGGCAGAAGAGTGTCCTCCAGATTCACAAAAGTGTTTTTAAAGTTAGTAGAGTGCCAAAAGAGCATTTTGGGCAGGACTGTGTCTCAGCAAGAATAAAACAGGGCATAAAAAGTTAGTCTTAGCCAGATATACAATAATAAAAAATGTGATAGGGACATTCAAAGGGATAACTCTAACTGTTACTGTGGTCATGGAGGTTAGTAGAGCAGAATTTTGTGGTCAGTTTTACAGATTAATATATAAATTCCAGCAGATATAAATAAGGGGTTATTTCTTGTTAATATTTTGATGTTTTTGAGTTCAACTAAGACTGACTTTGACATTGCAGGTGTGGAGAGCAGTTACGAGTCACCAGATGCAAGCAAATAATTCAAGGACTTCCTGAACACAATTACATTGTTCTGAAATATCTGATATGCTTTCTCCATATGGTGAGTATAGGCAAAATTTCCAGAGTAGTGTCAGTCTTTTCTTTCTTAATCTGTTCTTGTTAATTCAACATTGAAAATCTCCACAGAAAATAAAACTGAAGAATTTAGAAAATATGGTGAGGTGGTGGTGCAGTGCTTGCCAATGGAGTGAACTCAGGGTGCAGAACTCTCCAATTCTAATAAAAGTCAGTGCTAAACAGTGGTCTGGCCATCCCTTCATCATGAAATTCGTTAGATGTAATAAAAACTACTGTGTAAATTTAAATGGAACTGTGCCTGCACAGGAATACTTAAAAGTCCTGTCCCTCACCTTCACTCCCCATTCACAAATGTATTTTTTATTGATTTAGTTCCTGTTTTTTCCTATTTTGGAGTGAAAAAGCCTGAAAATAGTGGTTGTGTGATTTTTGGTGCTGGAGAAAAACCAGATTAAATCACCTTATTTCTCCAAGGCATAAATCTTGGGCAAATAAAACACCAAATAAATCAGTGTCATTTTAGAAAATGATAGAAATATTAATGAGCTATAGAACAATAATCAGCAAAATATATTATATTGAATCTTACAAATACCATTTCCCCATTTAAAATAGCCTTTCATGCTGTAATTTACTACAGTGTTAAATTACAAACTCTAGTTGTGCCGTTTTGCAAGGATTTTTGGTATGCTTCAGGATAAATGAAGTCATGTCTTTTGTCGTACTTTTTGATTTGCTGATTTTTTTAAAACACTTTTTTGTAAACCCCACAAGTGTGAGGGCTTGGGGAACATCCATTACAAATAGTTCTACAGTTAGCCTAGCGACATCTTTTGGTTTCCATTTTATGTGCAGGAAAAGACAGCAATAGGTGTGTAAGTTTCCCTTCCTTCTGCCTTATCCAATGCATTGCCTCCAATGCATTGCCTTTTCCAGATTGCATTTTTCAAACCCAGGTGCCTAAAATTGAGTATCACGGTGTAGTTGACACCTGAATAAAGTGATCTAGCCTTCAGAAGTCCTAAGAGCCCACCAAAGCAATCATGTATGTGCAATGATGCTGATTTTCACCAGTGGAGAAATTAGCCCTCAGCAACTGTTCTTGGCCTACAGTCATGTTTGCCGTATTCTAGCCAGTTATGTGTTTCAGAAACAAGTACATTTAATCCCTTTTTCTATCAAAACACTAGAGAAAAGCAAGATTAAAGGAAACACATTGATATGACCCTCACTCAGAAAGCACTTGCAAGGTTCCTGTAATACCCGCATGTTCATTTACTGTTGCTTAGATGAACTCTAATACTATTAAGGAAATCCTTATGTCATTTGCTATTATTTTAGCAACTGATATCTTTCCTCAGTGTTATGAATCGTGTAAGTGACTTTGTTCCAACAACAGATGCACCATCTCAGCGCACTTCTTAAGCGCTGAGCACTTGAGGTGTTAATGAGGTGTGCAAAAGTACTACATAGTGTTTTCTGTAATTGGGCAACAGAACATAGCGTTATTTTTGAGTATGAGTATGCCTTGTTACGCAAAGCACAGCGTCAAGTTGATACTAGTGCTCAGATCTGCAATTTTTGCTGATCCATGCCTTTTTGTCGGCAAAGGGAGACTCAGACAC